TTTCTTGACCTTCCTTTTTGCATATCAAATTTGCAGTTTCTTAGTTGAAATGTATTGATATTGAAATTGCTGTTTTGATACAATGCTAGATAATAGCTATCAGTTGATTTAAGCAATATATTATATTGCTGAAATTATCAGGACAAATATTAAGAGAGAGATTGCAAGATTTAATTGGTAAGGTAGACTTGAGAGCACTAGACACATAATCTTACTATCAGTACGATGTAAGACTTGGTGGATCCCCCCTTTTTTAAAACCCAATTTCCCACTACTTTCTTAACCGTTGTCATAAATCTATCCTAATTAAAGTGTTTCACCATGCAAATTGATCAGGCAAAATGTATCTGCCAGTGGAGCTCGTCCTAATCCACAGGGTTCGTTCCATTATGGTTCAATCAACGTTACTGATGTCTATGTGCTCCAGAGTCTACCACCTACAACGATTGATGGGAAGCTCCGAGCTTCATTCAATGGGATTTCATTTGTCAATCCCGATACACCAATACGGCTCGCAGATATCTACAAAGTCAAAGGTGCTTACAAGCTTGACTTTCCAACTAAACCACTAGACAGGCCACCCAGGATGGATAGATCTATTATTAATGCTACGTACAAGGGGTTCATTGAGATCATTTTGCAGAATAATGACAGTGTCGTTCAGAGCTTCCACATGGATGGTTATTCGTTCTTTGTGGTCGGGTATAGTCTGCATGTTAAATAGAATTTTTTTAGCATGTGAAGTCATGTTTGTGTTAATAATAATCATTGCTAAATAATACTCACAGGATGGGTTACGGTATCTGGACCGAAAACAACAGAGGATCATACAACAGGTGGGACGCAATATCTCGCTCTACTGTTCAGGTAGGCGCACTTTTCTCTTATTAACATTTTATCTTTTCCTCGTAACTTATGAGATGTTATAATCTTGCATTCTCCATTTTTGAAAAGTCATGGACTAAACTAAAAATGTACCTTACTGTGACATGTTTCATCGTGTTCCTAACTTGTGTTTTCCGGTCACAGGTTTTTGCTGGAGGATGGACCGCAGTCTATGCATCTCTTGATAATGTTGGCGTCTGGAATCTTAGATCAGATAATCTCGACCGATGGTATCTTGGCCAGGAAACATACATGAGAATTGTGAATCCAGAAGATACGAGCAACAAAACAGAGTTGCCTGTGCCTGATAACGCTCTCTATTGTGGTGCACTTAGCAGCAAGCAAAAGTATTGTTCCATAACTTTCCTCCCCAACCTGCCTTATTACAGCCTCTCTTTCTCTATTATACTGAACTGCTGTTGCGCCTTTTTTATTTGCAGGCCTCAGAAAACT